TTGATAGTCGACCGTTAGGGTCCGGGTCTGTTACGGAAGTCACTATACCAGTCACCCTGATCACCCAGGAGACTCATTGTGAGCAGGTAATTTTTTCGATTATTGAGTCTCCTGTTTTCCCTGTGGTATTAGGTATCCCTTGGCTAGCACTCCACAACCCCACCTTCTCATGGCTACAGAGGGCTCTCACGGAGTGGTCGCGAGAGTGTCAGGGTAGGTGTCGAGATGTTTCCGTTGGTGCAACCACAGTGGAAAGTCCAGACGGTACCTCCACCGTGCGCATTCCCCCCCAAATACCTTGATTTGGCGCTCACGTTTTCTAATACGCGTGTGACTAAATTACCACCTCATCGGGCGGGGGATTGCGCAATAAATCTTCGGGTAAATGCTGTACCTCCCAGGAGTCATGTGTACCCCCTGTCGCAGGCTGAAACGAAGGTTATGGAAACATACGTCACCGAGTCCCTGGGCCAGGGGTTCTATACGTCCCTCCACTTCACCCGCCTCCTCAAGTTTCTTCTTTGTGAAGAAGAAAGACGGCAGTCTGCGCCCGTGCATTGATTATCGATCACTGAACAAGGAGACGATTAGATTTAGTTATCCTCTCCCCCTCATTTCTTCAATGATTGAGTCAATGCATGGGGCGCGCTTCTTCATTAAACTAGATCTCAGGAGTGCATACAACCTGGTGCGTGTTCGGGAGGGGGATGAGTGGAAGACAGCATTCAGCACAACCACAGGGCATTATGAAACCTGGTGATGCCCTACGGTTTGATGAATGCTCCATCCTTCTTCCAGTCCTTTATGAACGAGGTGTTTCGGGACATGCTTGGTCGCGGTGTGGTGGTCTACATTGATGACATCCTGGTGTATTCCGCTACGTGCGCCAACATGTGTCCCTGGTTCGCAAAGTGCTGGCCCGACTGTTGGAAAATGACCTTTATGCCAAGGCAGAGAAGTGTATGTTTTTCCAGCAGTCCGTCTCCTTCCTCGGATACCGCATTACCACCTCAGGTGTGGAGATGGAGGGAGATCGCATTTCAGCCATGCGTAATTGGCCGACTCTAACCACGGTTAAGGAGGTGCAGCGCTTCCTTGGATTTGCCAACTACTGTCGGAGGTTTATTCGGGGCATTGGCAAGGTCGCAGCTCCCATTACCTCCCTGTTGAAGGGTGGGCCGTCCCGGCTCCGCTGGTCTGCTGAGGCTGACATGGCCTTCAGGAGACTGCAGGGTCTGTTCACCTCAGCCCCGGTACTGGCCCACCCCGATCCATCACTGCCGTTTGTAGTGGAGGTGGATGCGTCCGAGGTAGGGATAGGCGCTGTCCTATCCCAACGCTCGGGCACGCCACCCAAGCTCCGCCCCTGTGCCTTCTTCTCTAAGAAGCTCAGCCCAGGGGAGCAGAACTACGATGTTGGTGATCGGGAGCTGTTGGCTGTTGTCTGAGCTTTGACCGTGTGGAGGCATTGGCTCGAAGGGGCGAAACATCCTTTCCTCGTCTGGACGGACCACCGTAACCTGGAGTACATCCGGGCAGCGACAAGGCTGAATCCTCGCCAGGCCAGGTGGGCCCTATTCTTCACCCGGTTTGATTTTACACTGTCATACATTTCGGGTATGAAGAACGTGAAGGCAGATGCACTGTTCCGGCTGTATGACACAGAGGAGAGGCCCAGAGACAACACCCCCATACTCCCGGCCTCCTGCATTGTGGCGCTGGTAGTATGGGCGATGGACGCGGATATAGAGCAGGCATTACGCACAGATCCATCTCCACCTCAGTGTCCAGCTGGGCTGCGGTACGTGCCTGCTCTTATCTGTGATCGGCTGATCTTCTGGGCACACACGTCACCCTCCTTTGGTCAACCAGGTATCGGTCGTACAGTGCGCTGCCTGATCGGAAAGTACTGGTGGCTTACCTTGGCTAAGGACGTGAGGGTGTACGTCTCCTCCTGCTTGGTGTGCGCCCAGAGTAAGTCCCCTAGGCACCTCCCAGCGGGTAAGTTACAACATTTACCAGTTCCACAACGACCATGGTCTCACCTTAGTGTTGATTTCTTGACTGATCTTCTCCTCTCCCAAGGTAACACCACCATCCTGGTCGTTGTGGACTGCTTCTCCAAGTCCTGCCGCTTCCTTCCTCTGCCCAGTCTCCCGACAGCCCTGCAGACTGCGGAGGCCCTGTTTACTCACGTCTTCCGGCACTACGGGGTGCCAGAGGATATAGTGTCTGACCGAGGTCCCCAGTTCACATCCAAGGTTTGGAAGGCGTTCATGGAACGTCTGGGGGTCTCGGTCAGCCTGACCTCTGGGTTCCACCCCGAGTCAAATGGGCAGGTGGAACAGGTAAATCAGGATGTGGGTAGGTTCCTGCGGTCCTACTGCCAGGACCGGCTGGGGGAGTGGTCGGTGTTCTTGCCATGGGCAGAATATGCCCAGAATTCTCTCCGCCACTCCTCTACTAACCTAACGCCATTCCAATGTGTTTTAGGTTACCAACCGGTTCTGGCACCGTGGCACCAGAGCCAGACCGAGGCTCCTGCGGTGGATGACTGGTTTCGGCGCGCGGAAGAGACGTGGGACGCTGCCCACGTTCACCTCCAGTGCGCCGTGCGTCATCAGAAGGCCAACGCTGACCATCACCGCAGTGAGGCCCCGGTCTTCGTACCGGGGGATCGGGTCTGGCTCTCGACCCGGAATCTGCCCCTCCACCTGCCCTGCCGGAAGCTGAGCCCGCGGTTTGTGGGGCCGTTCAAAGTCCTGAGGAGAATCAACGAGGTCACGTATAGGTTATTACTTCCCCCTGATTACCGTATTAACCCCTCGTTTCATGTGTCTCTCTTCAGGCCGGTGGTGGTTGGTCCGCTCCAGGAGTCTGAGGTGCGGGAGGTTCCTCCACCTCCTCTGGACATCGAGGGGGCCCCGGCGTACTCTGTCCATTCCATTCTGGATTCGAGGCGTCGGGTGGGGGGCCTTCAGTACCCCTCGTGGAGTGGGAAGGGTACGGTCCGGAGGAACAGTGCTGGGTCCCGGTGAGGGAATCCTCGATCCCTCCCTGTTGCGGGATTTCCACCGTCGCCATCCGGCTCACCCTGCTCCACGTCCTCCTGGCCGTCCCCGAGGCCAGGGTCGGCGAGCTGCTGGAGCTGTGCGTCAAGGGGCGGGGGGGGGGGGGGGGGGGGGTACTGTCACGACTTCCACCGATGCTGACTCCCCTCCTTGTCCAGGCAGGCTTCGGCGCTCGTCGTCACCGGCTTAATAACCACTGCCGCTCCTATATTCATCATTCCATTTGTCTTGTCTTGTCATTACACACACCTGGTTCTTATCCCCTCGTTAGTCCGTGTATAAGTGTTCCCTCTGCCCCCTTGTCCTTGTGGGTGATTGTTTAATTGTGAGAGTAGTGTAGCTCGGTGGAGCTACTCCTACCATTTTGTTGCCAGGGTAGCTATTTCCCCTGTGCCTATGTATTGTTGGATCTACCGTTACAGTGTATTGCCAGGGATGACAGTTTCCCCTGTGCTTGTTTCGTTTGTCGCTATTCCAGCGCATTTGTGTGTAAAGACGGAATAAACTCTGTATTCGGTGATTACCCTCCTGCGCCTGACTCCTTCCGTCACACTCATCACATTGTGGGGACACTGTGTTGAGGATCAGCGAAGTGGAGGTGTTGTTTCCTACCTTCACCACCTGGGGGTGGCCCGTCAGGAAGTCCAGGACCCAGTTGCACAGGGCGGGGTTCATACCCAGGGCCCCGAGCTTAATGATGAGCTCGGAGGGTACTATGGTGTTGAATGCTGAGCTATAGTCAATGAACAGCATTCTTACATAGGTATTCCTCTTGTCCAGATGGGATAGGGCAGTGTGCAGTACGATGGCGATTGCATCGTCTGTGGATCTATTGGGGCGGTATGCAAATTGAAGTGGTTCTAGGGTGTCAGGTAAGGTAGAGGTGATATGATCCTTAACTAGCCTCTCAAAGCACTTCATGCTGACAGAAGTGAGTGCTACAGGGCGATAGTCAGTTCAGTTACCTTTGCTTTCTTGGGTACAGGAACAATGGTGGACATCTTGAAGCAAGTGGGGACAGCAGACTGGGATAGGGAGAGATTGAATACGTCCGTAAACACTCCAGCCAGCTGGTCTGCGAATGCTCTGAGGACGCGGCTAGGGATGCCGTCTGGGCCGGCAGCCTTGTGAGGGTTAACACTTAAATGTCTTACTCACATCGGCCACGGAGAACGAGAGCAAGTCCTTTGGAGCGGGCCGCGTCGGTGGCACTGTGTTATCCTCAAATGTACAATGTGCAGGGATACTGGAATATTTGAGGTAGATATGTACATGTAGGCGGGATTAGAAGAAAGTGACTGGTAGCAGGATAAATAATAAGTGTAAACAGTGCTGAAAAGTGACTGGTTGCAGGAATATATAAATATTTATGGTAATATACTAGTGTAAACAGGAGTAATAGTGACAGTAGCAGGATAAATAGATATGTACTAATGGTAATGGCAATCAATGAACAGCAGCATAGTGGTAGTAATAAATCTAATCAATAGTAATTTTAGCAGCAGGGTAGTTGTGAGGGGGAGCAGTAGTTGTTTGCCATAATTCAATGACTTACAGTCACTGTGCTAACGCTACTTAGCATTGGCTCGTGAAACTACCTCTTAACTTCCTTCATACTGGACACAGAGACATAAAAATTGTATCCACGAGTTCATCTGACTCTGGGAATGTAGATAAAAGGCCTCATTGTCAAAATCCCGAAGTATCCCTTTAAGAGTCTGTTGTTCTTAGCCACGATGCATTTACAGTAATATCAAGGCACAGACTTCACTTGATTTCTACTATGTCTCACCAACTATTTGTGGTCTTTATTAAGAGAATGTGACTCCTATCAGCGTTATTGGAGACCTTCTGAATAGTTTTTTATACATCATGCATTTATACCCAATAGATTAGTTGATATTCTGCCTCTTCTCTTTCATATTGCAGTAACTTTCTGAGGGCAACTGTAAGCCGGAGACTGAACGACATCAGTAAAGGAATTGACATTGTCGTGCACATGCTCAGTATGTACCCAGAACTCAACTCGTCGATCAAGATGAAAGTGGGAATCGAAGACTGCCTACACATCGAGTTTGAGTACAACAAGTCCAAGTATAACTCTGTTACCATGGTTTATCATATTTGAAATAAATTGATTGGAAGGCTTGCGATATTCCTGTTTTTGAATGGTGGGCGAGATAACAGAGCTTTAGTGAAACTTCAGTCTCCCTGGTTGAACTTCCCTAAACTCCCATGATAATAGCGTTGTTATATCATATGATTTGTGAGGAAAAACCACCTGAACATAATAGAACATTTGAAGTAGCTTGTGTCGCAATACTATATAAACACTGACCGGTTTGAGGGGAGTGAAACATTGTCATAGTTCTTGTTATTATGACAAAACTTCTGTCAGTACTGATTATTAGCATTTGATGGAAGTGGCTAGTTAAACAAAACCAGCTTGGTTTTCAGTCTCTCCTTGTCCATAGACTGCTTTCAAGGTAAGGATAATAATATGTAAATATGTCATTTTAGCTGTGAACTATCATTTTAACGCAGGTACCACCTAAAATATGTAATTGTGGGGAAGATTTACTTCCTGTTGGTACGGATCAAGATCAGACACATGGAGATTGACATCATCAAGCGAGAGACGACTAGCACGGGCCCAAATGTGTACCATGATAACGACATCATAGCCAAGTATGAGATTATGGACGGAGCACCAGTGAGAGGTGAGTGGCATTGACAACCAGTGGAGGCTGGTGGAAGGGGAAATCTGAGGACGGGCTCATTGTTATGGCTAGAATGGAACTGTATGTTTGATCATTTTCCATTCACTTCATTCCAGCCATTACAATGAGCCCGTCCTGCGGTTTCTCCTTCTACCAGCCTGCACGGTTGACAAGGCTGGATTTACACAAATGCTGGGCATGGGACATGGACTAAAAGCGTCTGACAACATTTTGGGATTTTACAGTGAACTATCACTTTAATAATATGGGTTTTGTCTTTCAGGGGAGTCCATCCCTATTCGACTATTTCTGGCTGGCAATGAGATCACTCCTACGATGAGGGACATCAACAAGAAGTACTCTGTGCGGTACTACCTCAACCTGGTGCTCATAGACGAGGAGGAGAGGCGTTACTTCAAACAGCAGGTACATGCAGTTAATTTGTGGTACATCTCAATAGTCAAGGTCAGCACATTGTTCATTTCAACTCTGTGCATGAGTGCTGTGTAACAGTAGGGCTCTAACAATACATTGATTTGTATTATGGGTGTGAAGAAAGGAAACCAAATAGAGGTCCTATCATACCTGTATCACACCATACTGAATCGTAACATGAGTTGTACATCACTATATACTAGTTGGCTGTGTGTTACCTGGGATGTGTTGATTAGCACAACAAAAAAGTAATATTGAACATTCTTACTGGACAGGTCCAGGTAGTCTCTCCCTGTTTCTTTCTGTTTTTGTCCATTTGGTGCCTCATTAACACGACCCTGTTTTGTAGCCTTGTTCTAGGAGATCCCTCTGTGGAGGAGGGGGGGCGTAGTGAGGAAGAGCATGTCCCACCAAGCGGCCATCGCCTCGCAGTGCTTAGAGGGCTCGTCCAGTGAAGAGAAAGCCCTTGGTCATGCCCAGGCTAAGGAACAGTAGCTAAGCCCCAGCATAGCCAACAATCCATCGCTTCGTACAGGTGTGTGTCTGTTTGTGTGTGTGTGTGTGCGCACTATGTTGTGTACATGTCTGTGAATCTATGACTGTGAGAAAGAATGCATGTATTTTCACTGCATCTATGAATGTGTGTGTGCTCGTCAGGTCATCTATGAATGAGAGCATGTGCGTGTGTGATGTACAATATGTGAACGGCAGCCATTTTAGTCATATATTTCTAACCTCGCCCCTTTCAACGTCGCCATCTCATCAACAACACTGATGATGTCACTTTCTCCAACAACTGCAGCTGAAAAGGGATGAAAAATGTCACTTTATAATTCAATGTTTGAAGAAATAATGCATTCTCATGGTATATTTTATTAACTTTGAGCCAGGTTTTTCTGCTGTACTGATTATTGTAATGTACTTTTTTCTGCCCTTTGAATTCGTGATAGTTCTGAACTCAAAGCAAGGGTAAAAACAGCTGCTGTTGAGAAACCTTCTTTATGGCATCTCTTAATGAGTACTTGGCTTTGGCAGTTGGACTACTCACTCTGCCCCTACACAGATGGTAACGCGCCGCCGCAACCTTCGCTCTCTCTCTCCCACTACTCTCTCCTCTTCCATCCTATCATCTCTTCCCTCTGCTCAATCCTTCTCCCTCCAATCTCCTGATTCTGCCTCCTCAACCCTCCTCTCCTCCCTTTCTGCATCATTTGACTCCCTGTGTCCCCTATCCTCCCGGCCGGCTCGGTCCTCCCCTCCAGCTCCGTGGCTTGATGACTCATTGCGAGCTCACAGAACAGAGCTCCGGGCAGCGGAGCGGAAATGGAAGAAAACTCAACTCCCTGCCGACCTGACATCTTTTCACTCCCTCCTCTCTACATTTTCTTCATCTGTTTCTGCTGCTAAGGCCACTTTCTACCACTCTAAATTCCAAGCATCTGCCTCTAACCCTAGGAAGCTCTTTGCCACATTCTCCTCACTGCTGAATCCTCCCCCCCCCCCCCCCCCCCCCCCTCCTCCCTCTCTGTGGATGACTTCGTCAACCACTTTGAAAAGAAGGTTGACGACATCCGATCCTCGTTTGTTAAGTCTAATGACACTGCTGGTCCTGCTCACACTGCCCTACCCTATGCTTTGACTTCTTTCTCCCCTCTCTCTCCAGATAAAATCTTGCGACTAGTGACTGCAGGCCGCCCAACAACCTGCCCGCTTGACCCCATCCCCTCCTCTCTTCTCCAGACCATCTCCGGTGACCTTCTCCCCTACCTCACCTCGCTGATCAACTCATCCTTGACCGCTGGCCATGTCCCTTCCGTCTTCAAGAGAGCGAGAGTTGCACCCCTTCTCAAAAAACCAACACTCGATCCCACTGATGTCAATAACTACAGACCAGTATCCCTTCTTTCTTTTCTTTCCAAAACTATTGAGCGTGCCGTCTTTAGCCAACTCTCTTGCTATCTCTCTCAGAATGACCTTCTTGATCCAAACCAGTCAGGTTTCAGGACTGGTCATTCAACTGAGACTGCTCTTCTCTGTGTCACGGAGGCTCTCCGCACTGCTAAAGCTAACTCTCTCTCCTCTGCTCTTGTCCTTCTAGACCTGTCTGCTGCCTTTGATACTGTGAACCATCAGATCCTCCTCTCCACCCTCTCCGAGCTGGGCATCTCCGGCGCGGCTCACTCCTGGATTGCGTCCTACCTGACCGGTCGCTCCTACCAAGTGGCGTGGCGAGAAGCTGTCTCCGCACCACGTGCTCTCACCACTGGTGTCCCCCAGGGCTCAGTTCTAGGCCCTCTCCTTTTCTCCCTATACACCAAGTCACTTGGCTCTGTCATATCCTCACATGGCCTCTCCTATCATTGCTACGCTGACGATACACAACTAATCTTCTCCTTTCCCCCTTCTGATAACCAGGTGGCGAATCGCATCTCTGCATGTCTGGCCGACATATCAGTATGGATGACGGATCACCACCTCAAGCTGAACCCTGGCAAGACGGAGCTGCTCTTCCTCCCGGGGAAGGACTGCCCGTTCCATGATCTCGCCATCACGGTTGACAACTCCGTTGTGTCCTCCTCCCAGAGTGCGAAGAGCCTTGGCGTGACCCTGGACAACACCCTGTCGTTCTCCGCTAACATCAAGGCGGTGACCCGATCCTGCAGGTTCATGCTCTACAACATTCGGAGAGTACGACCCTGCCTTACACAGGAAGCAGTACAGGTCCTAATCCAGGCACTTGTCATCTCCCGTCTGGATTACTGCAACTCGCTGTTGGCTGGGCTCCCTGCCTGTGCCATTAAACCCCTACAACTCATCCAGAATGCCGCAGCCCGTCTGGTGTTCAACCTTCCCAAGTTCTCTCACGTCACCCCCCCTCCTCCGCACACTCCACTGGCTTCCAGTTGAAGCTCGCATCCGTTACAAGACCATGGTGCTTGCCTATGGAGCAGTGAGGGGAACGGCACCTCCGTACCTTCAGGCTCTGATCAGTCCCTACACCCAAACGAGGGCATTGCGTTCATCCACCTCTGGCCTGCTGGCTCCCCTTCCTCTGCGGAAGCATAGTTCCCGCTCAGCCCAGTCAAAACTGTTCGCTGCTCTGGCACCCCAATGGTGGAACAAGCTCCCTCACGACGCCAGGACAGCGGAGTCACTCACCACCTTCCGGAGACATTTGAAACCCCACCTCTTTAAGGAATACCTGGGATAGGATGAAATAATCCTTCTAGCCCCCCCCCCCCCCCCCCCCCCCCCCCAAAAATAAAATAAAAATAACCCACTGGCTATAGGGTGAATGCACCAATTTGTAAGTCGCTCTGGATAAGAGCGTCTGCTAAATGACTTAAATGTAATGTAAATGACTCAATGGACATGCAAGACCTCTTAAGGCCTGGTTACACCTTGCATTAACATGTGGTCATCATCCGATCAACTGTAGCTCAGTTGGTAGAGCATGGCGCTTGCAACGCCAGGGTTGTGGGTTTGTTTCCCACGTGGGGCCAGTATGAAAATGTATGCACTCACTAACTGTAAGTTGCTCTGGATAAGAGCGTCTGCTAAATGACTAAAAATGTAAAAATGTAAATGATCAGATCACTATCTGATCAAGGTCTGTGGCGTACCCACATGGCATTAAAATTGGTCTCTTATCCGTCCACTGGATGTGGACACTGGACGCATGTTAGTGCAAGGTATAAACATGGCTTTAAAATCAGAATGCAAAATGTATTTTTTATCAATCGAAATGTCATGCAACTTTAGATGCACACCAGCTTAGGGAAAATGGCATTTGAATTGTCAAACAAATTATTTGAATAAAACATTTCATTCCATTTGAATTCCATTCTATCATCAAACTTAACATTACATTCCAAGCTTTGTGTCATTATCGGTAGATGCAAACATAAAAGGTTTATTATTATTTTATTTTATTTCTTTATGTATTTGATCTTTTATCACCATTATACATGTTCTTGGTTTGTCTAGGTGGCTTATGTCCATTAACATTGGGCGAGTTCGTTTTGCATGGCCGAGTGTGGTGACACTAATGGTTTCTCGGAACTGATGGCTTCTACGGTTGCGTTAGGATAGTTAACATAACAGGTTAGGATAATTAATGTAACGAGTTAGCGGCAGGTAGCCTAGCGGCTAAGACTGTTGGGCCAGTAACTGAAAGGTCGCTGGTTCGAATCCCCGAGCCGACTAGTTGAAAAATCCCTGTGCCCTTGAGCAAGGCATTTAACCCTAATTGCTCCTGTAAGTCTCTCTGGATAAGAGCGTCGGCTAAATGACTAAAATGTTAGGAGAATTAGGTGGTTAGGAAAAGGGTTAGGCTTAGCCAAAATGTGGTACTCCATCTAACCGTAGAAGCCATCAGTTCCGAGAAACCATCAGTATCACCTCCCCGGGTAGGCAGAGTTTTCTAATTTTAGACCATTCCATTGGTCCTGATGAAATCACCACCCACCCAAAACAAACTCCCCCACTACTACTGCTGGTAATACAAGTGTGGCAGATTTTGGTGTAACCTTTCCAACTGATGAACTGAATATAAGATCAATTTAATACCATTCTTTTTTATTTGTAATAGATCCACATTTTGCTAAATCAGTCTCAGTTTTCTGTCTGTAATTGGTTTGAAAAGTACTTAGAAAACATTACCAGCATTAGTTCACTTTGTGCCTAATGGTTAATTGCCAGATGGTTCTAGTTCAATTATAGAAACATCATCACAGCTTATTTTTCCTGTAATCTCCAACCATTTTACACCAGGTACTTGACTTCCGGTGTGAATGCACTGAAGTCCTCATAACGTGTGCCTTCACTGTAGGGCACTGTAATATTGATTGGGAAAAATATGAAGAAACAAAGAATGTGTCAGAGTATGCTTAGTCTTTTGGAATGGTGTTTTGTATTATGCTCTTACTAGACTTCAGATTCAATCAGATTCACGCTAGCCGACTCCTGCATAGCTGTTGTTTTTAAGGTGTCGGAGGTGGAACTGGGTTAGAGCTGTCAAATCCACAAGCGTCTCCCGGGATTATACCTATCGTGGACATTGCCATTGGCTGCACATAGTCACATTAGTATAAATCCCATGCAGCCGTATATTCTCATTCTGAACTTCTAGCACGAGTGGGATGGGTGTGGTTTCGTGACGACGACCACATTAGCAGTTGGTCACCAACTGACATATTACTTAAATAAAAACAATGATCTGCCATGCGGGTACTGGTTATCGCGGGTTAATCCTGAAGTGAATGAATCTTCATGAATTTTACAACCCTTTTTGGGCACCTGATAAATTAATTGAAACTGTATTGTCCATAGACATGTGGGTTCATTAAATCCTATGGACTGGGCTACAGCGTCTTTAAAAGTGCTATAAAACTCCCATGTATTATAATTATTACTGCTGTTTCTCAATGCGAGCTTCATTTGTAGCTAGATTTACTTGATAGTGTCCCCGAGTCTTAAAGGTAACACTA